AGGACTTGGAACCCAGGGACTCCACACTTTGCTCTGAGCTGTGCCTATGCCACTTTCATTCACTCTCTGATTGGAAGCCCATGTACTCTGTCAACATAATAATTTAAACACTAAATTCAGAAATCCAGCCTTGACCTGAAGAAGAGCTTTCATTCTTCTGTGAAGCTTGGCTGTGGAATACCTCCCGTGTAAGCACAAGAGGATTTTTAGCAACGTCTCCCTACGTCCAACCTTCTCATAGTTTCCGCCATTCCTGTTAAGTGGAAGGCAAGCTTCTAATGGAAGCACTAACAGCCCGTTAATCTTGACTAGAGGGAGAAAGTACCACTTCAACTGCAGATTACAACTTCCCAAAATAGACCGGGAGGAACTAGCTTTAGGTAAATGAGTTACGATGTATTCATTCAAAGCTTTACTGCTACTTCAGTAAGTACATTTTTAGGAGTGCTTGAGATGGTTGTATTCAAATATAGGGAGCCCTATGAACTCTAACAAATTTACAGATAGCAGAGCATATGTATGTGTGACATCAAGTAAAATGGTTAACAGTGACTTTTCTAGTACAGAGAGTGCTACATCCACATTTTCCCACTTCTCGAGAATTCAGGGGATTTTTATATAGTATTGAATTGGGATGAGATGCAATTTATCTGACCTTTTAACTATTCAGTGTGTCTTTTTTAGAAAAAAGTGTTACTGTGAGAGCTACAGACCTCTAGTAGGATTTGGGATGTGTAGCACCTGTAATCAGGAGGAAACTGTTTCCATAGGACTCTCAGGGGTACCCCAGCTAACTCCAGCTTCTGTTTGTTAGGTTTGGATAGCCCTGGTATAACGAGATGAAAACAGATCGAGATAGTCGTGAATGCCGCAGGTGTGGGGCCTGAGCCTTTCTGGTGAAACATAAGGTGGGTTGGGAAAGGGGGAAGGTAAGAATGTATAGGAATATAACCTTCTGGTTAGGGCTTGGTCAGGTGCCAAGGAGTAGAAAGTAGAACAAGAACCTCTCATGGGAGTTCAAAGGCCCAAGCACTTGGAAACTTGAGAGTGTGTGTGTGTTTGTGTTGGTGTGTAGGGCCTGGCCCAGTGCCAGGATGAACAGACAGAGATCTAGGAAGGAATATGTCATGAGGCCAAGGTCAGAGGCCAAAGTCAGAGGCCAACGACATGACTGCACACAAGACGATGGAGGTGAGAGGTGGTATTACGACTTCTCAGCCCTTTGCATGAGGGGACTTGGCTGGGCAACCTCACAAAGATGTGTTTGTCTCATTCTGAAAGAGATCAAACCCAGGATGGAAATTGGGAGAAGTCAAATAGACCATTCCTTGGGAGTGGTGTCTTTATATCCTTCGTTCCAGGTAGCTTTTAAAATCACTTTCGGACCTTAAGATGAATTTACTTGGGGGTGCACGGAATGTGCAGTGAAGATGAATTCTTTTGAGTTTCCAGTGGTATTTGTTCCATCAAAGGCCCAGTAGGGTGCCATTTTACCAGGACCCTGAGAGAAAAAAATTTGTCGCAGGTGTGGGGCATTTTCGACATCATGGTTGAGTTTCATGCGGATGCAGAATGTTGATAAAGGACTGTTATTTAGTCAACCTTTATATACAATCTCATGCTCAAAGAGTTCAGTTTGGTACTTTGTAGCTAGCAGGTGCTCAATGAGTTTTTATTGAATCAGATAAATCACCACTCCTTCTCCAAAGGAAATGCTACACATACCCTTGAGTAGTGCCCAGTACTATTAGAGTCCTGGTTAAATTCCATGTTCCAGGGATCTT